TACCAATTTTACAGTTTTATGGTGTTTCACTGTTGTTGATAATTCAGCTCTGGAGTCTTTGATGTAAAGACCCAAAGACTGAATCAACATTACATATACATTAATACTGATTGTGCATGTGTTAAGTTTTTCAGATTTCACCCCAAAGTATTATGCTCTCACTATTTCTGGAATTTTTGACATATTAATTATATCTCATGCATGATTCTAGGAATGTTTTTGATATTTTTAGTCCCAGTGGTACATTGATTATTACTGTCACACTGAAAGAAATAAGCTGGTACAAATGTTACATGGCAGTCATGTTATTGTTTTACAGTGGGGTGGGTGCATATGTTTTCAAAGATCTGTGACAATCCAGAATTTCAGGACTGTTCACTGCTCTTATCTCTCCAGTTAAAATATATGTAAATTTATTATTACTGTATGTAAGAAGTGAAAAGTATAAGGTTGAATGTGGTCTGTAATGGCATCAGCAAGTCACAGACCACCACTGATCACTTGTATTGATGGTCTGGAGCACCAGCAGCACTGCCTACCGTCTGTGATGTACTGACTTACCAGTTGTATGGCTTTTGCTTTTGGTCATTGGGGTATCAAGTGCTAGTTGCCACCTTTCTTGCCTGGTATGTATGGTATATGATTAAGGGGGTCACAGGACATACATAGAGGTACACACACCTACCCTGGGCTACTAATGATGGATGCAAAGTGTGTGTGTGTGTGTGTGTGAGAGAGAGAGAGCGAGATAAGAGCCCAAGGTTCTTAGAGGACCTTACAGTCGGGTGGTTAGTAAGATAGAGGTACCAACTAACTAAACTACTGTGAGAATTACTGACAGTTCAGGTTGCTGACTAATGATAGGATAACCTGAGCCATCTTTAGTATTCATCTGATATTTAAATTAGGTCAAGGTTGAGCTGCCATCACATAATGCCACTCTGTAAGTGGCAGTAGCTAACTAAATGGGGATAATAAGCTGATGGAACGTAATTTCAAATTTAACTGAAGATACACTAGAAGATTTTTGTCTTTGAATTTGTTGTAGCACTTGTTTTTAAAAAAATAGGCTAAGAATTGTAACCATGTAGCACATATCCATAGCACTTGAATAAGAATAGGCAATGAATATACGGAAGATACCAAAAAAAAAATAGTCTCAAAACTGCAGCCAAGTAGAGGTTGTAAACTAATTAAAGTATGTAAATGGAACTTAATGCAGAGTTTATTATTATTTGTCATGTGATACATAGTAGTTTTATGGATTTCTAATTTGTTTGCATTTTGTGTGGCACCAACATTTTTTTCGGGTTAAAGTTGGTTGGCTTGTCATGAGTTCGTGGAAGGGCTTGTCTCATGTGCCCTATTCGTAACTCGCTTTTACATGGAAGTTCCAAGCGCCAATGTCTCTATCCGCCCATACAAAGGACACATAGGCGTTGGGTAGCACAGATGGACCTAGTGGGATGCAAATACGTCCCCAACCCAAGGGAGCTTCATATTCCTACCAAGACGTATAAGATGTTTGATCACAGGTTACAGGCACAATTTCTTTTTTTGAAATATCTCTTGAGCTTAGAATAAGCCTAGAGTTGCCAGAAAATGGGTAGCTCTCCCACACTTTTCCTTCTAAAAGGTATATTAAACAGGTCTATACTGAAAGACTTACTTTTGAAAGATAATATTTATTTTTGAGGGAACCGACATTACACTAACTCTGTGGAGTTGAGTCCTTAATGAAAAGCTACTAGTTCCACAGCTCAGATCTTCAGCTTTGAATTTCAGGATTTTATGGAACTCGAAATTTCATTTCCACCGCCTCATGGTCCCACTATTCGTCTGTGTTCTGAGCTAGATGAATCCACTTCACATCATCCCGTCCTATTTCTTTGCGATCCATTTTAGTATTATCTTCCCATACATGCACGCTGTAGCGTAGTTGGTTGAGGCACTGTGTTACTAGTGGAAGGTCGCGGGTTCAAATCCCGATGATGTCATTCCAGCAGCACTATGGTCCCGGGGTCGACCCAGCCTCTAACAGAAATGAGTACCAGGAATCTTCCTGGCGGGTAAAGGGCGGAAGGCACGTAAGGCTGACAATCACACCACCATCTGTGAGCCGATTGTCTAGAAAATGTGGGAGCCTCGATATATCTCAACCCTATGGGCCTCCACGGCGTGTTACAGGGAGAGCTTTACCTTTTTATTTTTTACATGCATCGGTTTTCGTAATGGTCTCATTCTTTTGGTTTCCATACCAAAGATTTATGTATACTTCTGTACTCTCCAGAGTGTGCTACGTGCCCTGTCCATTTCATCTTCCATGGTACTTTTTAATATTATCTTTCTATCTACGCCTGGGTCTTCCTAGTGGCTTCTTTCCTTCAAATTTTTCTATCAGAACGTTCTAAGCACTTCTGTTTCATGCCCTGCAAACTTATCCTCCTTGACTTGATCACTGTAATTTCATCCTTCTTAAGTCCAGCAGTTCGCATCAGCGTCCTACTCTCAGTCTGTATTCTTCCCCTAATGTGAGAGACCAAGTTTTTACCCATACAAAACTGCAGACAAATTATATGTATATTTTAAGCGTTACTTTTGTATTTAGCAGAAGAGAAAACGTAAGGTCTGAACTGAATAATAGCAAGTACTCCCCATATCTTTCTGTAATTTGAAGGGGTTGCCATTCTCTAGCAAATCCCCAAATGGGGAGAGCAGGGGTGTCTTTTTGCAGGAGCAGCCACCTTCACCACGTCTAGCTGCGGGCTTGAGTCTCTTTTGCCGCTGTCGACTCTTCATCATTCATTCCTGTCTGTCGGAGAAGCATATGCTTCCACAGCCAACCAGGAACGGAGCAAGCCTTAACAATATTTGTTTGGTTGCTGGTGGATGGTAATCAACACCTTGAATCGTGAAGTTCATCTAAGTAATATAAAAAAAAATAATTCCTCATTTTATTTGTTCCGTATGATCAGAATAAATAGCGTTTATTTCCTTAAACAGTAATAACTCCGTAGCCTTTGTAATGGAGACCCAGTGGGTTTTCCGAGGTAGGAACTGATTTCTTCTTTATTCCAAAACCTTTTGTCTTCTCGTCTGTTGTCCAAAAACATAAAAATTAGAATATACAAAACTATAATTTTGCTTGTGGTTCTGTATGGGTGTGAAACTTGGTCTCTGACATTAAGGGAGGCACATAGACTGAAGGTGTTTGAGAAGAGGGTGTTGAGGAGAATATTTGGACCGAAAAGAGATGAAGTGACAGGAGGCTGGAGAAAACTGCATAATGAGGAGCTTAATATATTGTACTCTTCTCCAAATATAATTAGAACGATCAAGTCAAGGAGTATGAGGTGGGCAGGTCATGTAGCACGAATGGGGGAGACGAGAAATGCGTATAGGATATTGGTGAGAAAACCAGAAGGAAAGAGACCACTGGGAAGACCAAGGCGTAGGTGCGGGACAATATTAAAATGGATCTTAGAGAGATAGGGACCAGTGGAGGGCTCTTGTGAACACGGTAATGAACCTTTGGGTTCCATAAAATGCTGGGAAATTCTTGAGTAGCTGCAGAATTGGCGGCTCCTCCAGAAGGGCTCAGCTCCATGAGTAAGTAAGTAAGTATTATTTAGACGAACGTCCTCTTAAAAGGGTTAATAACAAATTCCATGGCTAGCAATTCAATATTTTGAGAATTACCAATAATATTTTGTACATTTCAATACTGGTAATAGTTGCTTTTAAGGGTGTATTAAATAGGTACTGCAACTTGACTGTAATTTCATAATTTCTGCCACTGCAGTGAAAAAGATACAGGCAGCCCACACACACACACACACACACACACACACACACATACCTCCATGGTAACATGCGGGAAAGTAGTATATTATGTGCATATATTTGTAACCAGTATGAATGAATGTATGTATGAGGGGTAGGCCTTCTCGGTCCTTGCACCGCGACCTACAGTGGCCTATTTTGCTTACTGTAACCAGTAAGTTACAATTCAAATCTGATGTTATGTATTTCACTCTTTACTCAAACAGAGAACATTTTTTTTTTGTATATTTTTAAATTCCATATTACTCTTTGTGTTTCACATCCTGTGTGTAATTATTATATCTAGAATTGAAAGAAAAATACTGTAGCGTGTAGGCCAGTTAGTTATAACTACTTCGAAATAAACAACGAAACAACATTCGCTACGGGGCAACAGACTCCTAATAAGCAAGTATACGCAGCCGTTACTAGGCAACGCTTTAACAAACACGTTTCCACGTAAATGCTTGGAGTACAACAATGAATTGTGTTTTCTACGCCGTCCGTACCGAGATATAACCGAGGCAAGTCAGTTGCAACAGCCATCAACTCTGGTCATGAACCCCAGACTGGATTCAACACCAAGACTGACTAACTGATTGACTGACCGTCAGTCGCAATGTGACTTTGACTTTGTAACAGTCACTGGCAGAAAGTTGTACGGGAGCCTGTGAAGAGAACACTCGGTCGGTGCAGTCGAAGAATCCTAACTCTTAGAAGCCGTTACCGGGGAACGACTGGTGAAGATAGAAGACTGAAAAGAATTAGCGTGTGCTGTAGGGATTTGTAAAGTGGGGAAATCAGCGATGGCGCTATAATTAAGTGTAGTTCACGAGTCGTATGTTTAAGTAGTCAGTCAATACATCTAATCCAAAACCCCGTCTATAGTCACACATACACGTGAGAGTATAAAATGCAGGATTATGTTATCTGTGAACAAAATAATGTGGTATATATTGTTCATGGAACAAAAAATGTGGATCACTTATCCTGGAAGCGACAGCAGTTATGTGACCATATGTCACTCTCCCGTCATTTACCTTGAGGTACTGGAGAAGAGCATGAAATTTACAAGCAAGTATTACCGATCTCGGAGCCAAGATTTCAACTTGGGACTTCCATTCAATAAATGTTCTATAATCAAATTACGATCAGCATAGCCTGATGCATAGGTACATTTCAAGCCAAAGTACAGTGGAACTCGGTGTTATCCCATCATAACTATCAAAACCTTTCCTCTGAGACAATTATGTCTTTCCCGTGCTCTTTCCGTAAATGACTACAGTTCCATATATTAACGTAATAATTTATGTAAAGGTTTTTTCTTCATTAGGCTTGAAGTTAACGTTAAGTGAGCATCAATTTAAACTGAAACATTATTCGAGCTGGGTGTGTATGGTTTTAAGTAGCTTGTGCTATGTTGTCCGTTTGTACTTGATAGCAGAGATCTTAGGGGCTCTTAGTAAGCGTGGTGTAAGGTTGGTTTCAGTTTTATTGACAGCGGCAAATGATGTACTTGTAGGACCACATTTTTAGAAGGTTATAAATTATTGTGCTCTCAGTAATGTACTTCAATTAGCAGATGGTCGTCTTAACCAATAAATTTCCTATCAAATTTCATGTGCTGTGGTATTTTTGAGATTTTATTTGTTTGAGTGAATGTATCTCAGTTTTGTGAAATGTCTGCTTGTGTCGTTTATATTGGCTTCTAACATTAGGCTTAATGACCTCAGAGGATACCATCTTTGTCGGAATGTACACGCACAACTGAAAGAGGATTTCGTCTGTGGATAGGCTCTACTCTCCTACTCTCTCATCTCCTATTGAACCATTCAAAGGCATATCCCTTTAGGCCGTAATTCTTCTCGGTGTCTTCTTTGGGTGTATCAGGCGAGTCCAGTCCGAGAGGTATAAATGTAATATTTGGTTGGTACCCAAACTCATTGGCGACATATTTAACCTGTGCACTAATTCCATTTCTTCCATTTACAAAGTACCCTCCAACTTTATCTCCGTTCCTGTAGCCTTCTTCGTTGTGGCCGTGGAAACCCGCGGTATAGTTGAATCTGTAGAGTAACTTCATTACGTCAGTTTCTGTGATGCCGTGTGGAAGACCAGGTCTCTCGACTCCCAGTGGAACTACACTTACATCAGGAGGCTTTCCACCAATATTACTTCCTGGAGGAGAAACTTGTCCAGCGACATTGTCTGCAGATGGAGGTTGTGTGCCTGCTATGGGAAGTTGTGAGCCTCCAATTGGAGGACTTATTCCTCCACTAGTACCAACAGGAGGACGAGAAGTACCATTGATACTACCCACAACGTGTCCTTCAGGCCGTGCAGGCGAAAATGGTCCAACAGTTGAACCAGCAGGTGGACGAGGAGTGCTAAAAATACCACTCGTAACGTGTTCTTCAGGTCGTGCAGGTGAAGATGGTCCAACAAATGAACCAGCAGGTGGCCGGGGTGTGCTGAAGATACCACTAGTAACGTGCTCTTCAGGTCGCTCAGGCGAAGACGACCCAACAAATGAACCAGCAGGAGGCCGGGGTGTGCTGAAGATACCACTAGTAACGTGCTCTTCAGGTCGCGCAGGCGAAGACGACCCAACAAATGAACCAGCAGGTGGCCGGTGTGTGCTGAAGATACCACTCGTAACGTGTTCTTCAGGTCGCGCAGGCGAAGACGACCCAACAAATGAACCAGCAGGAGGCCGGGGTGTGCTGAAGATACCACCTACCTGAGGCTTGGCACCGCTAGGTGGAGGAGACATACCCGTAAAATAACTAGGAGCTTTTGATGTGCCGAAGGTGCCACCGGCTGGGGGGTGAACATTTCCAGGTGGAGAAACCTGCCCTCCTAACGTGCCAACTGGAGGACCTAATGTGCCGGAAGTTTCACCTGCCGGTGGATTTGATCCTGATTGACCTGGCACAGGTGATAACGGCTTCATCGTGATCGGTACAGGGACTTTACAAGAGCCACACCCATCGTTGACTTGAATCTTGGGCGTAGTTGAAAATGTCGTAGAACTGCTGAATGCTGCAGGTCCACTTGTAGCTTTGGGTGTGCTGCTGAATGCTGCAGGTCCAGGTGCGGGTTTGGGTGTGTTGATCAGCAATCCAGGTCCTCCTGCTGGCTGTGTTGTTGGCTTTGGAATGGGTGGTGCTGTGAATGACACTGCTTTAGGAGTAGTGGATATCTGTGCACTTCCGGGAGCTGTGGGAACAGACACAGAGCTTCAGTTCTATTGTATTAACTGCAGTTCAAGACAGTAAGTTTAAGCTACATAAAATCCGCGACACTGTAGATGGAAGGGCAAGATTTAAATATAGTTTATGTCCACTGAGATGACATTAACATTAATGACGTTAAGTCTGGCACCTTGAAGTTAGGTCATATAGTAGATCTTTGTGTAAAGGACAAAATAACACTTTATTTATAACCGCGAATACTGTACATGTTTGCTTGCGTTCTCAGGGGACGTTGATCTTGAGGGTACGTTAGAATGGCGCAGTAGCAGCATTACTGGTATTTTCAGTCCCCATTCAACGGCGTGTTTTTGAGCAATGGTTACCTAAACTCTTTCAATGCGAAGTGTAGGGACGAAAGAATGAGTACGGGAGAATAAAAAGGGTTGGGGAAACGAGGAAGGTGCAAAAGGTGGGACGAAACGGAAAACGTAAAGGAAGAGAAGGAATGGGGGTTGATGATAGGGGGAAAAAAATATTCGTCTGTAGAACCTGAACCTGCGTGCGTCCTGGATAATCATGACCAGAAACTTGATTGAAATTCTTTCTTCCGATTTTCCACCCATCCAGGAACATTCGGAGATAGGGGCGTGAAATTCGCCAAGGTTCGGCTCCTTCATTCCACTCTCCTCTCAGATTACCACGACAATATTATTTTTCGATGCTTCATTACATTTGTACTTGATACAGTGTGCGTAAGAACTCCGTGGACATAAATATCAGTGTTTTCATGTATATATGGAGACCTGTCTGAGACTTATCTGCGTGAGCATTAAAAGGTCGCCGCCGCTGAATGCTGGCGATCTCACCTTTGTGTTGACACTTAAAACTTAATTTTCTATTTGAACTGTATGAGATCTGTAAACACTAACTGTTTTTTTTTTCTTTGGCACTACAGCCCCAGTGGGCCTAGGCCTACCTCCATGGACTTCTCCGTTCACGTAAACACTAATTAATGAACATATTTCCCGTTGAATCTCCAATGGACATTATACTGCTTCTTAATAAAATATATCCGAGGATATTCATAACTTGCATTCTTCGCCAAATATAATTGGAATGACGAAGTCAAGGAGAATGGGATTGACATGACATGTAGCACGCATGGGGAGAACATGAATGCGTACAGGGTTTTGACTGGAAAGCCAGAAGGAAAAAGACCACTATGGAGACTTAGGAGTCGGTGGAAGAAAACAATTAAAATGCATCACAAAGAAATATGATGGGGTGGTATGGACTGAGTTCATCTGGCTCAGGATAGAAAAACATTGAGGGCTCTTTTGAATGCGGTAACGAACCTTCAGGTTCCGTAAAGTTTTGCAAAATTCTTGAGTAGCTGAGCGACTGTTGGCTTCTCAAGGTTTCATCGCCATTGAATTAGTTAATAAAATATATTTGTTTTTAATTTATTAGAGAAAACAGGATCAGCCAAGAGACGTTTGCTAATGAAAATGGAGTATTTTCTGTATTAAACTGATAGCGCGGGAATATTCAGTTAAGAGTGAGGTAGGAACATTCCCTGAACATATGAAATCAATGCAGATGTGACTAGAATTTTAATAAGGTGAAGATTTTATCCTAAGACGTTTTTCCTACAAATCTCTGCCAAAAGCCAATTTGGCAGAGATATGTTGTTTATTGTTGTTTATTTTTCGTCCATGATTGTGTTCCATACGTCACTAAAGGTGCTGTAATAGAGGCATATATATATATATGCCTCTATTACAGCACCTTTAGTGACGTATGGAACACAATCATGGACGAAAAATAAACAACAATAAACAACATATCTCTGCCAAATTGGCTTTTGGCAGAGAAAACCTAGGAGCAATAACAGTGCGAATATGTCAAAATTGTTGAACTATGCATACTTTTCCTAACTTATTAATAAAATGACTCAGATCTTTAGTCCGAAGGTCATCACATTTCCTCTATATCTGCATATGCTACCATAATTATATGAAAGAAGGGATAACACTCAAATTACGGAACTACAGAGTATCCATGTCACTACAAAAGTTCGGAAATGAGGATTCCAGTCGCATTCAAAAGCTCCACCGTAACAGTTGCGCATCTCACTGCCAGGCATTGTTACCGTACGCACTGGCCGGAGGACGGAGCATATTTCTTGTCCTTGGGTATCGTCTAGGTCTAGAGCGTCCGCGGTAGGAACGGAGAAACTGACAGGCACGTTTTATTTTATGAAATGTATTGTCACGTGTTCGGGGTTTCGTGACTAATAATAACGGGTTCCGGATTGGATGATATGATTTATTGGCCATGTTATTACAGTCTCTCTTATTCACAATCAATTATAGCGTTATCACCGATCTACTCACTTCACAAATCACTAGGACATGGTTCATTCTCGTCCGTGTTTTCTGTTGTAATACTACTACTACTACTACTACTACTACTGCTGCTGCTGCTAGCTTTGGAATTCGACTCTCATGTATAGTCACGGCACGGACCACGCAACACAGTAAACACAGTCCCTTCATTGTTGTAGAGAACGCGTTGTCACGCAGTTGCCTAGCAAACAGTCTCGGCGCAGACCTACAGAAAACACCTGCCTACATCATCTCTTCTATTGTGTGACGTCACCGTGAACGCGTAAGCTGCACGCGCTCCGTAGCAACAGTTGTACGCGTCACGTATCGTGACATCTCATCCATTGTTGCGTGTGGGCATTACCTAGCAACGGCTGATGTTTACAGTTACCTCCCAGCCACAGGTCTATGCGCCACCTGAGGCTGCCATCTTATGACTTAAAAATTATCTCGGATACACATGAATGTTTAATTCACGTGGTAGTTTTTAAAATGCTCCGTTCCAGTGCTTCTATCGGTGCCGTGTAACGTGCCGTAGGAAACTGTACTTACGGAATCCGACTTTTATGTTTTTCATCTTCAGAATCTTGAAGTCCCCATTCTCGTCCGTAGCGTACACAGTCACGTGGTAGATTCCGTCGGCAGTGATAAATCCGAATTCTCCCATAATGATGCCGTTCTCATCTGGAAATAATAAAAAGCCGTTACAGCCTATGCTTTACCACTCAGATTCCCGTGTGTACTGAGCGTTACGAAATTAGGAAACGTCAACTTACAAGTGCACTCTTTTGCAGGCATGTATCCAGCACACCTCTATAAATCTTACGTTAACCAGTCGTTTTAGGTTTAACCCTCTGAAGTTAGAAGTTAATTCAATTAATATTGAAAGTCCAGTTCTAACCCCACAGAAAAACATTGCTCCTGCATTACAAAGACCAATCATTTAATTATATTTAGCGAAATTATCGCTATTTGCTGCGAGAATCATACGAAGCACATACATATTCTGTGGGGGGAAATGCACAGTTTTTTATTCAAATGGTACTTAGCACTATGCTCTACTGGCTTTCTTACTTATAAACTGTTTGTTTCATGAGCATTCTTCCCACTTACAAATTCCGCAGATCTTGAATGAGACAATGGCGCAGTTCTCTTTTACAGAATAATGAAAATGAGGATTCGAGCAGCACCCGAAAACCAGACAACAATATCTGAACATTGCTTTAATTAGCAGCAGTGGCTGGCATGCATGCTCTCAAGAACATGGAATAAATTTCATAACATTTTGAGCGTCCTCTATTAGGTCCACGGCTAAGAAACAGCAGACATAACAACAACATTTTATAGAGTAATCGTTTATATTAGACTTAAGGATGAACAAGGGCACGCTAGTACAGAGCATCCCAAAGATTGCCTTTGGAAGATACGCGTATGTCTCCTCGAACTACGGCACAGCAAACGCGTGGAATCGATAACGCGAAGGTAATATTTGAATAACCCTCTGTGGTTTGCAGTTAACTGGGTTTGTACTTGAATGAGAAAGACCAGATACTGTTGTTTCCTTGCGATATTCTTTTCCATGATGAAGACATAAAATAACTGAAGTCTCTTAAGAGACACGCAGGGTGTAGCCCTGTAAATATGCTTAGAGAGGTGGTGGATGTGTCTGTGGTCCGTAGTCGAAATCGAAGACATGAAAATGTTGATTTTTGTCTTTTCTTCCTCTACACTACATGTTTCGGCCTTAATTGGCCATCATCAGGCGTATTTTTCACTACGTAGCTGTCACACTGCACACAGTCCAAAATCTAAAACATCAGCCTGTCAATTTTGCTTTAAAATCTCACCAACACACGCTCGTCAATTTGATTTTAGAATTCCAGTTTAAAATTTAAAATTCAAAATTTAAAGTTTTAAATACCAGGGACACCTGCTCATGTCTACATGTGCTGCAGCGGCTATTTCTTGCTTTCAGCACCGTTCATGTATTATTCTGCGCAGGCTCCCTGTGTGCGTGTCGCTGCTCATCTTTAATACTTTTGTCGTATTTTTGTATTATTACATATAGAAGTGTATAGTGCAACAGGATGCTTAAATATAATATAGAAAATATTAATACTTTTCTTAATACGAAGGGATACATGGATGTAAGAACATTAAACAGACAGATGCAATTCACATGAAAACAACAGAGTAATTTTATTATGACATGGAAGAAATTATATTTTAGAAGAACACGACATGGATCCTGTCTAAGGACATTAGCGCAATAGAAACAAGGCCGATTAAATCGCATTAGAAAGATGAAAACCTTTAGACACCCAAAACAATATTTTGACTAACAAAAGACAAGGAGCGGGGCGATCTTTAAACGGATATAACCCTGAGGCTTCAACAAGTCATTTACTGGCCCAAGTTCATGACCAGAAAAGAAGAACAGATGATTAAGCTTTTGGGAAAAACATCAGCAGCTAAAGAGCGTAGTAACGTGTACAGAATATCTTGTACAAATTGTTTCCTTGAGTTTCTGCATACCTCATTTCCCTTAATATTCCTGTATTGTTGATGCAAATGCTTTTACTTGGCAACTATATCACAAATGTGTAATCTCACTGACTTTAATGCATAATGATGTCAAATGTACAAATTCATTGTACCGAAAGCGTGACTAAGGAAGCTGATAAAATTCGATTTGAGCAACTTATGATGTAAGTTTTATAAGGCCGAGGCCTTGCTGAGAATATAACAGTCGCTCAGCTAGTCAAGAAATGTCCCGCCTTTTATGAAACCCAACTGCTCATTACTGTGCTCACAATAGCCCTCACTGGTTTGTATCCTAAGCCATATGAATGTAGTTTGTTTTATAAAGACTATTTCTTTAAAATTCATTTAATGTTACCACCCATTTACAAACAGATCTTCAAAATGGTCTCTTCCAAATTTCGGCTCAAAATTTTTTATGCAGTTCTTATGTCACATGTGTTGTACCTCCTCCGCCTCCATTCTCCTTGCTAATATCCGACTAATATCATAAAAGTATTTTCAGAGGACTAGGCCTACAAATTATGAAGCTCCTGATATGAAATTTATACAGCATCTTGTCACTTCTTCCCTCTTGGGGCCAAATATTCTCTGTAGCACACTCTTTCCTAACAGGCTCAATATGTAGGTATGTTCATTAGTGTGGGACATCGAGTTTCACACCCGTGCAAAACAACACGTACAATTATAGATCTATATATTTAGCCCTTCAAAGTCCAGTGGTTGCTATATGTACTACATTCTGTCCACACAGTGCATTTGTGTGTTTCATATTTTTCTCACAATAAGAGGCCACTGTTTTCCCTGAACAACATTAATCGCCTGGTCTTTGTAGCGGAGACGTAATGTGTTTCCCGTGACACAGGAACTCAGTTTTGATATATTATTTAGAAGTAATCCACTCTTTAAAGGATTCAATAATTACCTGGTTAGACAGCAGACGGAAACACAAAAGATTCCAATTTAGCAGCGAGGATTTCCGGAATTTTGTTGTCTCCCAGTGGAACTATGTCAACTAGCAATTCTTTAGAATATTCACTGAGCATCACATCATGTCTTATGTTTCTGATTTCGTTGCTAAAATCCTTCTAGTTTTGATACATGACCTTCGCTCGGCTGACCAAACTATGAACTATCAGTCAACCCAGTGTGGATCTCTCCCATCTGGACCCTGTCATCACAGCAGAAGTCAAGAGACTACAGCGCCGTCAAGTGTAGTTGGAGTGGGTAACTCTTTGTTTCGTGTGTTGGCACCACAAGGAGTATTGCTTCTCTCCAGGCATGATTTCATTCAAGATACCTCTCTGGTGCAAGGCCTCATATGTGTGGAGCTTCATTAGTTGAATAATTTCTTAGCTCTCACAGATGGTTTGTGTTGTGCTTGGATTATGAACCCCTTCTGTAACTGGCATAGGTGTCTGGACCGGTCTGGACATAGGGCCTAGCTATATTTATTGGACTCAACTGAGTAGGTTTTACTTGAGGACGGGGATAGAATCCAGTCTCCGAAACGTCGTGTTTTGTAAAAAAAAAAACAGGGCGGTTTTTTAAAAATAGACAAGACGCTGGATTATGTCCAAAAGCATAATACTTGTAGCAATATGCCACCGACACAAATTTTTAGATCTTAAGTTATTATGTATTACATATCTTTATATTATTATTTTCTTGGAATTCTGGGTACAAAACATATTTCCTGGGTTTTCTGTGTGTGACTCCAGACATATTCGCTAGAAATACAGACCAATACAAAGCCAAATTGAATTCCCTAGTATACTTCCAGTGCAACCCCCCCCCCCCCCCCCCANCATTTGAATCCTTTAAGCGGCTCCATAGATGAAACTGGAGACGACCAGAATGACAATGCGTGCTGATTAACGGAAGAGAATGAGCTCTGGCATTCCGTATTGATAATGCATCCCTTTACCAAACTATACGATGTCTCGTGCTGGAAGACATAATGTCAATAATGCGCGTTTCGTAGCGAGTTAAATGCAGGACGGGAATATAGTTCATACGTTTGCAGATGTGTCCAGATGTTAAAACATTCGGAACGCGGATGCAAGGGAATTGCACCAAGTTACTTACCTTTCTTTTCGTGGCGGTGCTGGTAACCTTCGATGTTGAACCCAAACTCGTAAGGTCGCTCCTCGTCCGTGAAGCCGTCTTTCCCTTTCTGACCGTGCACAGCCATCACACTGATCATGAACAGGATAACCTGAAGCATGAAAGTGGCCGTACTGCAATAACAATCTGTGGGCACTGCAGTTCACAGTGAAGCTTGGAAGGCTTGGACTCTGTTTTATAGTTACTGAATCATATAGACAGTCGGTAGGACTCATTGGGCTGGGAGAATTCCACCGCAAGGCCGCTACATAATCAGGAAAACACAAACACATAATAAACGCAGACAAACATCCATGCCTCGAGTGGGTTTCGAATGCACGACCGCAGTGTTGAGCAAGCGAAGACAGAGATCGGCTATTGGATTGTTACTACGGCTAATTTTCTTCACGGCAGAACCGCCTTTTATCGTATTTATGTGTTGCAGGTTGACCCGACTTGGAGCAGTGTCCGGATATCGGTGTAAGGGTCGCGGAGGCTGGCGGCACACATGTCCATGGGGCGGAAACATGGACTTCCGACCGTCACTGACGGAAACGTTCCGTCATTTTATCTGTTCGGATGTAATCGAATTGAAAATCGACGAACTTCATGTTGAAAATAAGAGGAGGATTTCGTGTATCGTTCTACTTAAATTTATGGTTGCCGAGGATTTGAGCCTTAAAACAAAACACGCATGGCGCTAACTGGAAAGCCTAAGGAGATGATATTTCTTGGCAATTCTAAACGTAGATGGGAGGATAATATTAAAATTGACCATAAATTGGGTAGCTCAGGAGGTATAGCTAAAAAGCTACAAGCTGGACAAAAGAGGAGTCAGAGCTCGATTTGCGGCAGGAGCAAGATATATTTCTCTTCGTCATAACGTATAGACTGGCTCTAGGGCTCACCTAACCCCCTAAACAACGGTTACCGGTGGCTATTTCCCCGGAATAAATGGCCGGAGCAGCTGACCAGTGACCTCCATCTAACGCCGAGACCAAGGATCATGGAAATATATTTCCACTCCCCCACGCAACTCAATGGCGTGATGTTTATTTAAGAACACGGCTAAATTTACCTTTACTATAAAGTAATGTCCCACTCAAGGCATGGATGTCTTTCTGTGCATTTATTCTGTTTATACTGTCCTGTTTGAAGGTAGCGGCCTTCGACGGGCTCATCATTAGTCAAAGGAGTCCTACCGTCTGTGTAAAAAAATATTACGAAACTGAAGAAGAGTCCATGGCCCAAAAAAGGGCTGTAGAGTTATCGGTGAATGACTGAACAAAGTAATGTGGTGGTACGATGCACCCGGGTTCATTTTACCCAGGACAGGAAAGAGTGGCAGGCTCTTGTGGGCACGGAAATTAAATGTGGGTTGCAAGAAAGACATGAAATTTCTTGACCATCTGAGGGTTATTATCTCCTCGACACGGCTTCTGCTCCGTTTAACCTGTGAGTTAGTTTCGCCTGAATCAGTCTAATAAAGTATTTTTTTCCATTTTATTGGAAAATGACAAGTCACAAATTCTCACCGATCAATATAGGCGGGTAACAACAAAGTTACCTCTCTTCGTAAAGATCGTGTTCATACGTTTAGGTCCCATGCTTCCCACGCGGAAATTGAAAGCAAATGTAACAACTGAAGAAGCATGAAGTTTCTGTTTTAAAACACTGCCATGGGCTTAGGTATTCAGCACGGCACAGAAATTTCAGGAACAACAAAAGACATAACCGAAATAGAAAATTGGTGACTTTCAAAAAGCAGTACAAAAGTGGTACTGAATTCTGTAATAGCATTACTGAAATGAAGACTGGTCATCATGAGAAAACTGAAAAATAATTATTTATGCCATAAGCAGGCAAGTATATTAAGTACAAAATGAGTGATAATTCCATTGGTTCATTTCAAATTGCAATCGAATCAGATACGAAGTGGATGAATATATAGTTAGGACACCAAAAAAATTTACTTCTCTATACACAAAGGGGGACTCAGTTACAGGCTCCTCAGCGTGCCTTCTTACTGCCCGATAAGGCAGTAAGAAAAGGCCAGGTAAGAAACAGTACTGAGCAAAGTTAGCAAACAAATGAAACATAAAATAATAAGTATAGCTTTCACAGACGGGAAATATTTGTGTATGATACTGAACGAAGAAGAAGACAAATCAATGTACAATAACACAAAAATTGTAACGTGTACATCTATTTCTAGGGCACGGGGTAGCGTAGTTGGTTGAGGCACTATGCTACAAGCCGGAAGGTCCGGATTCAGGTCCCGATGAGGTTATTGGATTTTTTTTTTCCAATTGACCTAATCCTTCCAGCCGCGCTATGGCCCTGGGGTCGACTCAGCCTCTAACAGAAATGAGTACCAGGAATTAATTAAAAAATTTTCCTGTGGAGTAAAGTGCGGCCGGCGCGTAAGGCTGACAACCTTACCGCCATCTTTGAGCCGATTGTCTAGATCAGGCATGTCAAACTCAACTTGTACAGAGGGCCACCTCAGCTCTATAAATAATAGTCCAGGGCCGCACTTCAAAATGGAAATATACATTAGATTTTGATACAAGGAAATTTAATTCTATTTATTATTTAGGAATAATTTCAATATTTACGCATGTATAGGCCGCGTGCGTGTATAGGCCGCAGCACAATCTTCAGACAGAAATTATAGAAAAAATAATTTTCTTGGAATATTATTTCAGGAGTAGAAATTATTCCGAAATTTGGCAACGTTTAATTTTTTTTAAATGAAGTGTGATTTCGAATATTTCGAATATAAGCCGCACCCCAGTTTTCCTCTTGAATTTTTGGCAAAAAATGTGCTGCCTATACATGCGTAAATACGGTAATTACGTAAAGTCACATATCTTACAATTTTAAAAAGGAAGAAAATGCCATTTTTGACAAGTATCAAACAGCTTTTCAATATGTAAAAAGAGAGATTACACAAGAAATTATGTTAGAAATAACAAAACATTGAATTTCCTACAGCCTGTTAATTTATGTCTGCGTGAGACTTCTTGTCTTCTGGTCTGTTGGATAACTGTCTCTACAAAAAATATTTCTACTAAATTTTAATATTGATTTTAATATCAATTAGCTCTAAACGTTGAGGGGCCCTATTTTGTGGCTATGGGGGCGGCATGCGGCCCGCGGGCCGCATGTTTGACACGGCTGCTCTAAATAGTGTGGGACCCTCAACGTCTCACAACCCTATGGGCCTTCACGGCCTGGTACAGGGATAGCTTTGTTGTTTTCTTTACATCTATTGCTAGGCAACTGTTGGCTAAATACATTATCGTGGCAACGAATACGCAGGCAACAATAGGAGAATTGTCATTTCTATGCAACAACAACGTAAACACACCTCTAATACAATAGACAACTTTCTATGTTACGGTGTTCCCAAAGTGTTTTCTGTGCGTGGCACGTGCCGAAAGTTTATAAGGGACAACGAATGTCCTTTGGAGTCAGCGGGGTCGAGTGCCTTCACCGTGGCCCCGCGAGTCGTGGAAGGCGGAGAAAGGGGGAAG